ATATCCTGGCGTTGGTGGTGCATGCCTTTAATCCCAGCACTTGGGAGGCAGAGGCAGGCAGATCTTTGTGAGTTCAAGGCCAGCCTGATCTACAGTGCGAGTGCCAGGATAGGTTCCAAAGCTACACAAAGAAACCCTGTCTCAAAAAAACCAAAAAAAAATAAAAAATAAAAATAAAGAATAGCTGGGTGGTATTGGCACATGCCTTTCCCAGCACTGGACAGGCAAAAGGCAGGTGGATCTTTATGAGTTCGAGGCCATCCTGGTCTACAGAGTGAGTTCCAGGACAATCAGGGCCACACAGAGAAACCCTGTCTTGAAAAAACATTAGATAAATAGACAGGCAGATAGATACATTAAAAAATAGCGGGGTGGTACTGGCATGTTCCTTTAATCCCAGCACTAGTAAGGGGGAGCTGGAGGGGGCGGGGGGGGGGGGGCAGAGGCAGGCAGGTCTCTGTGAGTTTGAGGCCAGCCTGGTTCAGAGAGCTAGTTCCAGGACAATCAAGGTTACACAAAGAAATCATGACTTGAAAAACCTATATAATGCCAGGATGTGGTGGTGCACACCTTTAATCTCAGTACTCAGGAGGCAAAGGCAGGCAGATCTGTGTGAATTCGGGTCCAACCTGATCTACCGAGCAAGTTCCAGGACAGCCTGCAAAGCTACAGAGAAACACTGTCTTGAAAAACAAAAACAAAAACAAAAACAAAAACAAAAAAAAAACTAAATAAATACATAAGTAAATGTTTTTAATTAGGACCAAAAGATGGGACCAGAAGCAAGCTGGCCAGGGATATCTAGAGATGGGGAGGATGGGGTGCTGGCAGGAAAGATTGGAACCAGAAATACTCTTAAGTCTTGAGGTTGTCTCTAGAAGCTTGGCTATGGTTAGGCTCTTCTTTACTGTGGAGAAGAAATAGAGGAAGGAAAGTAGTGGTCAAAAGCTAGCTAGGCTTGGGAAACAGCAGTGTTTTTGCCACAGAGGCAAGAGGATCTGAGCTCTATCCCTAGCACCTATATAAAAAGCCAGATGTGTAGGCACATGCAACACAGGAAGGCAGAGACAGGCAGAGGCCTGGGGCTCACTCACACACTCCAGGTCCCAGCAGGAGACCCTGTCTCAGCAAGCAAGGAATGGCACTCGGTGACCGTCTGACTTCCACACATGCGTGTGTGCATGCACATGCTTGTACATGTTTACACACACACACACACACACACACACACAGAGAGAGAGAGAGAGAGAGAGAGAGAGAGAGAGAGAGAGGATAGAAGCTCCCTTCAGTCTGAATCCATGGAGAGTTTGGAAGTATGAATGGTACCACACAGCTAGGCCCACTTTGAGGAAAAGGAACTGCCCTTGTAGAACCTTCACCAGTCATTGGTCAACTTCTGAAGGCAAGGCTACTCTTGTCAGCTGTGAACTACAATCAGTCAACCCTCCAGACAGCAGCTGGGGGTGGGTATGCCAGACAGCAGAATGAACCCCATGATGTCCACCCTGCCTTGCTTTTAGCCATGGTTCCTGGATGGGGAAAGAAGAATGCCACAGAGGCCTGGCAGCACTTAGAAGAGGCCTCAGCCTCCGCAGAGCCCTTGTCCCACAGTGTTTCCTTTGTGAGGCAAAACAAAGTGATCTTTGAGGAGATGATCTTCAGGGCCAGCCAGAGATTGATGTTGGGAATGGAAATGGGTAGCCGGAGCCAGCAGGCTGACCCCAAGCCCTGGCAGAGTCAGCCCTTAAAAGGAAGCCACAGTGTAGTAATGTCACAGTGCTGGCACCTCTCCAGCCAAAGGACGGCCTCTGCTGGGTTCACAGGAAAGCCAGAGGAGGGAGCAAGACTTGAGGGTGGAAGAGGAGGAGGAGGGTTTCAGTCAGAGGGTACGTGATTACTCTCCCTGCAAAGCCAGACTTCCAGACTGACTCATGACTCCACTCCTTTCCTGTGTGAGCCAGCCTTCCGACATCACCACCTCCATGAAACTGCCCAGGATGCCCCTACCCATGAGTCTCTCTCTGGGCACCCTCTGCAGACATCTCATTTCCGGATCCTGGAAGGTTGTGACTCCTAATGTGAAAGACACTTTGGTATAATAATACTAAACAGTAAAACTGCCTGTTGACACCTGTTCCTCCCATGTGGCTACGGCACAGGACCTAGCCCACAGAGGAAGCCTATCTGTGTGTAGCAGGTGGGAAAGAACATGAGGAGAGGGACACATTTCCTGTCTCCCTGCGGTAGAGGGGGAGCGGGTTAGGGGCATAAGCAACCTCAAAGACCAAGCCAGGGCCATCTGCAGTGCTTAGAAGAGAGGCTTGGAAGAGAGCGGAGTCACTCTCCTGCCCCACCACCCCACAAGGCAGGCATCAGAGTAGAGGGACACTGATGGGCTGGCCATAGCTCTGGGAGGTCAGGAATCATACATAACACCTTGTTCAACCATATGAACCAAATGTCAGCACATCTAAGGATGTCATAACCGTGTCACAAGAACAACATGTGAAACTGGATGGGCACCAGACACCCTGGCAAGGAGGAGTAAAATGGGTGCTGCAGCCAAATGAGTCCCCTCAGTGGATTAGAATGGAGCACACAGGACCAGAAATATCTATACCTCAGGGGGTGGGAATTGCTGAGGCTCTGTGGGGCTGGCAGTAAAGAAGACACTCTGGCTGGAATCCATCCAGCAAGGCCTCATGCTAGACTAGGATCAATCAGCCCTGGAGCAGTGAAGGGGTCTAGAGGCCAGCATTGCCAGCTTTCTCCTTTGGGTGTGTCTTTGGTAGTATGAACATTATAGAAACACTATGAAATATTCAAATGAGCTGGAAGCCCGCCCTCACCCTAACTCAAACTGCTCTGTGTGCCTGTTCTCGTCATTAGGGCCCTGATCTCTCTCCACTACTCCAGTTAATAGTGATACCACTTTCCCCCAAGCCCTTTCTCAAAACTTGCTGGCATAACTGAAGTAAACAAAATCACAGATCAGAAAAGGCATCATTTTTTATGTTTGTGGTGCATATGTTTTATGTTTTTAGAAGGTTTTAAAATTATGTTTGGTGGTCATGTGCACTTTGAGTGCAGGTGCCCTTGGAGGTCAGAGGCCTGAGCTCCTCTGCGGCTGGAGTTGCAGGTGGTTGTGAGCTACCTGGAAACTGAACTCAGATTGTCTACAAGAATAGTACCACTGAGTCATTTCTCCAGCCCCTTGGGGCCTGTTTTTACATGGCATATTTATCTTTCTTATTGAGTTTTTTTGTAGTGGTGGTGATGATGATTGGGTGTAGACTAACCTCAAACTTGGTTTGTAGGTGAGGATGACCTTGACCTCCTGATCATAGTCTTTAGATAGTCTATAGTACTGAAATTGTTGGCATGTGCCACCACGTTAAAGTGAGTTTAGCTCAGCTGGCTAAATGACAATGCAAATGAAGCCCATCTGGGTCTTAGATTATCACAGAAAACAATTAGAGCCTCTCTGTTCAGTTGATTACACAGAATACCCATAACCTAGCTCCAACCAATTTGTAAATGTCTACAGCCTATCTGTCCCAAACAGGATTAAGTCACAGTGACTACAGTCCAACATAAACCTACCTCCAGAGCCTAAGAAAAAAGGCTCGGCCTGTCCATTTGCCCTGAGAGTTCTAAAGACCACATTAATAGTGATTTGGCTTCTCCTGGTCAGGAAAACACCCAGAAATGGGTCTTTGGGACCAGTTTGAAGTTATCAATAGGCCTGGGGGTGGGGGGGTGCACTGAATTTGCAATAAGGAACAACTCGGATCCTTCAGGCTCAAAATTACAGTTCCCAGGATGGAGAGACAGCTTGCATTGCCAACATGAGGACCTGAGTTCAGATCTCCAGCACCATGCTTTAAAAAAAAAAAGCTAAACTCAGTGGCACATGTGTGTAATCCCAAAATTAGGAAACAAAAACAGTTGGATCCCTGGAGTTCAGACAGCCAGCCTAGCCAACTGGTCAGCCCCAGGGTCAATGAGAGATCTAATCTCAAAGCATAACATGGAAAGTGATTGAAAAAGACACATAAATCTAGCTCTGGGATGGGCGTTGGTGGCGCATACCTTTAATCCCAGCACTCGGTAGGCAGAGGCAGGCCAATCTCTGTGAGTTCGAGACCAGCCTGGTCTACAGAGCAAGTTCCAGGACAGCCTCAAAAACAAAACAGAGAAACCTTGTCTCTAAAAAACAAAAAAAAAAAAAAGTCTATCTCTGGTCACTATACCTATATACACACATGCATGCCTCGTGTGGGAGCACGCACACACACACACACACACACACACACACACACACACACACAATTTTAATCTGCTGGTAGGAAGTCACTATGGCAACATTATCCAGTGGAACTTCCTGCAATGTCAACATGTTCAATATCTGCATGGTCCAATATGATAGCCACTAGCCACATGAGGCTACTGACCAACTGAAAACTGAATTTCTGTTTCTATCTCACTTAGTTAATAGCTACACATGGCTAGTGGATACCATTCTGGACAGCACATGAATACACGCAGTAAAAAACAGATGCCAAAACAAGGATAACATTTAACACAGGTACACCACTTCCCAAACACTGTTCTGGTGCCCCCAACGTCCTGCATATATATCACTACTGTCTACTGGTGATAGAACGATAAAGTCATGTAAAATGATTATGAACTTTACAGTATATTCCGATATCATATATTTTCTGTCTGTAAACACTAACAGTTTAATTACCAAGAGACTGGTTTCTTTAGTTGAAAACTAAGTCAGTCCTTATATTCAAAAGGATTAGGAACCTGAAATATCAGAGTGAGAAGAACAAAAAGCAAAACAAGCTACCTCTCCTTGACGTTTCTCCACTCCTGCCTACCTCCAGCTTAGCTTCCTATGCCCCACGAACAAGCTAAAAGATCCGGTTCCCTCCCTCCTCTGCTTATGTCTGGGTTTCCACTCTGAGTGAAATGGATTCTCAGTTCTGCCCACCTTGCCAGCCTCAAGCCTTCCGAGTGTTTCCCAAGGCACCGGGGTGTGTATACATGCACGGCTACCGAGCACACGGGTGTACACTTCTACTGAGGTGTGTATGCATGCATGGCTACCGAGCACGCGGGTGCAGGCTTCTACTCACCAGAGCACATCTCCCCTTTGTAGCGGACACAGGAGAAGTCATCGCACTCACAGAACTTGCCAGTGATCTTGCCAAAGTCACTACTGTGACAGACACACTGGCCGCAGAGGCACTCGCCTCTCTGGCTGCAAATGGGTTGGCCCTCCTTGGAGACGCACTCTTCCTGCTGGGAGGGTCGGTAGTCCTCCTCAGAGCACTCACACATGGCTCCCAGCCAGCCCTGGTCACAGCGGCACACTCCACACTCAAAGGTCCCATTGCCGTTGTTGCAGCGTGGGCTGAGAGGCTGGGCAGAGGCCTGGCAGGCACAGTCACAGTCAAAGGAGACCTGGACAGTAAGGCTATCCTTAAAGCCCACAGGCTTGATAGTGAAAGACTGCTCTTTCTCCTTGGGGCAGCCGCGTACCTTGGCCTCGATGCTAAAGCTCACCTGGATGGAAAGATGACATTCAGACCTAAGTGGATCTGAGAAATGCTACGATGCACCCTACCAAGGAAAACAAAACTAGGTGTCTGAATTCAACCATCCCAGGGGGTTCCGTGACCTTAATACTATCAAAGTCTACAGAGTAACAACGACAGTGGCATAGAAGTTACCACTGTGACACATCTGACTGGACAGATGGTTACAGACAAGCAATAGAAGGCTGTTCTATTCCCGAGAGAGAAACCAGCTGAAGCAGGACAGAATCAGTGATTTTTGTGAGCACTACACTAGCCAACTAAGCCAGCTGGAGGATCAATGTTGCATATTAACAGCAAGACAACAAGATTCTGCTTTGTGCCACACCATGCCAAAGAGTGGTTAATCAGTCCCAAACTGAAGGATACTGTATAAGGCATCATTGCAGCGTGTGAAGTGTGGGGCTGTGGACATACATGCTTGGAAAATAAGCTTACAGGGCAATGGACCAAAAGATTGACTTCTTGTCATTCCTCCCTGCCATCCACCAGTCTCTTAGGTAGAGCAGAGGAGGACCAGCACACAAAGAAAACCCGGGCAGCTAGAGAGATAACTCAGCAGTGAAGAATGCTGGCTGCTCTTCCAGAGGACCTGGGTTCAAATCCACATGGCAGATCACAACCCTCTGTAACTCTAGTTCCAAGGAATCAGATACCATCTTCTGGCCTTCACAGGTACCAGGCACCCACATGATACATAAATATGCACATAGGCAAAATAACCATATGCATAAAATGCAAAACAATAGCCATCAAGAAAACCATGGAGGGAATGCAGGGGCAATATGAGCATCTGCACTCTTAAGTGAGTCTCAAGGGGTCCAGGTATTTTTTCCTGTCCACTTGCTGCTGGATTTTCATCACCCAGAATAAAGCCTGGCGCACAGTCAGTGCTCAGCTAAAGTCTACAGATGATATACTGCCATTTTATGTCACAGAGAAAAGAAAGGCACTACTCTGGGTGAGTAGATAAGAGATCATTTCATTTGCAATCAGATATACAGGTGTGAATATCTCAAAAACTGATGGAGATGTTAACTCAGTGGATACAGAAACTTTAGGCAGCAGAAGCTTCAAGAGGAAAGGTTAAGAGCTCTTGAACTTCTAATCTGAAAAGGGTTGGAGTACACACAGACTCTGGGGTCCACGTCACAGCTTCAGTATCAGTCCCTGCCTCGCCCACTGCCCACCTTACCGTGTCTCCAATCTTGAGTCCCACACAAGACTTGAGGCCTGGGATGACCTCATTGTTGAGGCAAGTGGCATTGAAGGATAGTGACAGCTCTTCAGGGAGGTCACGCACTTCCAGCTCCACTTTGGAGCGGATTTTCTGAGCAGAAAGGGACAAAAGAAAGTAAAGACACAGACAAAGGCCAAAAGCATCCCACGCAAAGCCAACCCAGAGGCCTGGGACGTGCTTTGGTAGTGCCGGATGCTGAGGGTTATCTGCCCGTTGCTGCCAGAATGTCTCTGTACTCAGTTGCCTCTTTTGTGTGTGGCTAGGACCTGGCTCTCCCTCATTCTGCCCTACAGATGCTCCTTGTCAATCTGGCCCGCATCTACAGTCCCCTCCACCTCTAAGCGCCCCACTCACCGTCCGTTCTGCCCTAGCCTTCCTTTCTCTCCCACCTCCTTTCCAGAAGATGTCATCTCTCCCAGGGCTGGCCATCCTCTAGGAGCACAAGAGGAAAGCAGGAAGGCCACATGGGAGAATGGCAGCCTAGGGCTCCCAATGCTGAGCTCTGTCATAACATGGGCCTGCATCTTTAGGCATGATCCCACAGGCAAACCAGGCCACGCACTCCAGCTCGCTTTGGGACAGAGTTCCAAAGCAGTTTGTACCGTGACTTGACAGTTGTCATTGTAGAATACTTGGCTTCTCTATGTGCTGTGTTCAACTAAATCACATGATATGAAACTTCCTGCCACTCCTAAAAACATAAAAAGCCAGACCTTTCCTTTGTTCTAGGAATTGGTCTAGAGAGAAAGGCTGCTTTTGAAGAGGGTCTCTTTGCCTTCACGCTCATGAACATTGTCTCTCTTTGGCTCCCCCTACCCACTCTCCTCCTGACCTCTCTCGATCTCACTCTTCTGTGTTTGTTTGTTTGTTTGTTTGTTTGGTTTTTCGAGACAGGGTTTTTCTGTGGCTTTGGAGGCTGTCCTGGAACTAGCTCTTGTAGACCAGGCTGGTCTCAAACTCACAGAGATCCCCCTGCCTCTGCCTCCCGAGTGCTGGGACTAAAGGAGTGCTCCACCACTGCCCAGCTTCGCTCTCACTCTTAATAAAGCTCCTCTTCAGGCTTTAAAGGGACACCTCTTGTCCCCTTTAAGGCCCTATTATGTTTAGACCTCCCTATTATATTGTTTCCATCTAATGCCTCCCTTCCACCTCCAGGCCCAAGCATGGCCTTGAGGCCCATTCATTTTAAGAAATTTCAATCCTGGGGGGAATTTACATGTCAGGCTCCCATTGTAGAGGGACCACTGCATCCCACTTTTACTTCTTTTTAACACCCTCTGCTCAATGAGCCACATCCAGCAGACTCGACCAGCCCTCCCAGGCCAATATTCTTACCCCATAAGCATCAACAATGAGCTGGAGGACATTGCTTGAGTCAACAGACAGGATTCCCACTGTGGTCCCCGGAATGAGCTCACTATAATTCTAGAAAGGAAGACAAAGATGTCCACAGCTTGCTCAAGGAAAGTGGTCTCCTCAAAGTCCCCCTAGTCAGTCTTTTGGGGGGTGGGGGGCATCAAGACAGGGCTTCTCTGTGTAGCCCTGGCCGTCCTGGAATTCACTCTGTAGGCCAGGCTGGCCTCAAACTCAGAGATCTGCCTGCCTCTGCCTCTCAAGTGCTTTAATTAAAGGCGTGTGCCACCACTGCCAGACTGACAGTCTTAAAGTGAAGTTGTGAGGACACTGTGGGATGCCTCACTTGTCACTACCAGAACAGATCTATCAGATTTTCATATCTGAGGGAAAAGTAAGAAACCTTTTTACTCCCCTCCCCCAACTGATTTATCTCCTCACCATCATCTCAAACATCTACACCCTCTTCCTAGCAGGTTAGAGGCTGAAGGAAAAAGGCTATAGGGAGTTATGTTAAGTACCCAGAGAATGAGTTTTAAAAGGATTTTTTTCCTGGTTGGGTCCATGGCCACCTGGGACAGGTCCATCTGTGGCAACAGGACGGAAGCCCCAGAGGCATAGTTACCTGGTAGAGGTTGGCCACGTCTGCAGTGACTGCGAAGATCAGGTTAATGTTATTCTGGGATAGTTTCTCAGTCATCAGCCCCAGAGACGGGTAATCCTGGAAAAGAGGGAAAGGTTCATGGGGATATCGCCAAGGAAATGTGAAACTTAAAACATTTATGCACTAATCAAAGTGAGGTGTTGTGGTTTGGACATGGCTCCAGTGTGTCCCTTGGGTTTCATGTGATGAAATTGAATTCACACTGTGAGATGCTTGGGTGGGGGGGGGATGAAGACAAGCCCCGCCCCCCAACAGTACTGGGGAGTAGAGTATTCGGGAAGTATGGTTAGAGGTCATTACAGCAAAGCCCCCAGAGTTGAATCCCACTAGTGTCATGAGAGGAGAACAATGAAAACAGAAACCCATACACACACTCCCTGACCTCTGCTTCATGCCGGCCTGAGTCTTGGGACTCAGCCAGCAAGATGACCACCAGATGTGGTCTCTCAAACTCGCAAGTTCTAAGAACAAAACTGAAGTTCTTTTCTGGCTTACTGTTAGCAACAGAAAGTGGATATGAAATGAAAGTTGCTATATGAGTGAGAAGGGCAATGCAGTGCAAGCTTAGCAAAGAACCCTAAGCTGGTGGTGTTCCAAAGCCAAGCACCTTCCTTCCCACTCAGATTCAAACCAGCTCCATGAGTTAAGGCCCACCGTTGCAGAGCTGTGGGCAAATGTCCTAGCCTCGCTCTACTGATCAACCAACACGTGACCAACAACCATCACTCACCCCTACTCCTCTTCTACCAGGCACTGCTCTAGCTCACTCCTCCTGCGAGTGACCTTCATCTTGGCAATCCTCCTCCTTCCTTAGCCAAAGCTCACCTCCTCCAAGAGGCCTTCCTTGACCACCCCAGCTCCTAAGGAGCTTTCCTCTTCCGGCTGCCAATAGCCCTTGACTGTATAACACACTTAGCATTCAGCATGCATTCGCTGCTATTGATAAATGTGCTGGAATATATCCTCTCTCTTCATCTAAACAAAAAAACTTGTAGGAGTAGGTCCTTATAGCTTTTTCATCTCTCGCAGCTCCTGATCAGTGCCTTGTATAGACTAGTATCAGAGTCCGATAGTGCTCAGCTTGTATATGGCTAATACCAAGGACTTGAAGAGACCAGGAAACAGTATGAACCAATATGTCCATGGGCTCATAGACCTTGCAAGGGAGCTCATGAGTTCTCTAGCTCAGTCTCCTCCCTTGAATCACTTTTAAGCCACAAAATGGTTCCTCTATTGACTAGAGAAAATAAGGAGTATGTTTTAATAATAAATAAGGTTTTGTTTCTTATTTAAAAATAAACAGTAGGCTGGGGATGGCCTGGTGGATGAGCAATTATCTAATATACTATGAGACGTTGAATTCAATTTCCAGACTAAGGGAAAAAAAAAAAAAAACAGGCATGGTGGTATAAGCTTCTAATCCCAATACTCAGAAGGTTGAGGCAGAGGACTGCAAGGAGAAAACCAGCCTGGGCTATATATAGAACAAGGCCCTTTATCATTTAATCAATTAATTAAAATCAGGTATATTGTCAAATTACTGTAACCCCACTGATGTGAAGGTGATGGCAGAGGACTAAGAATTACAAGTTAACCTGGACTGCATGGCAAAGCCCTGACTCAAGAAAATGAAGGGGGGTAGGGGGACAAGACAGGTAAAAAAAAAAAGTCAAGACTTTCTCCAAATACCCTAAGTGTTATTATTTTAAACTTAGCTACATTTGCCTCATGGTTGACAGTAATTCCTATTTCAATTTAAGCTCCTTTCTTCTTATTTAGTTAACTGTCTATGGTTAAATAAAACACATGAAATAACTTTTCATAAGTTTTCTTACCTATCATCCTAAATTATCCACAAACATCTTTCTTTCAAACCGAATGACTCTGTGCCCTTTAACCTTTCCTCAAGAGGCTCTGCTCTCTGGGTTTTACCTTTGTCCTTTTCTCCCCCTTGTCTTTCCCCAGTAACCACAAATGAGCTTGATTCCAAGAAGGGACCCATCCACAGAGGAAGGAGGGAAGAGAGTTTTCTAGCTGTGCCTTCCCACATTTTGGATGGCAAGATGCTGTTGCTGGTGCTGACGACTGCGGAGTCAGTGTGACGCCCTGGGTGAGGGTGCCCTATTGGGATGTGGCAGAAACAGGCACTAACTGAGCCCCATATAATGCCCAGAAGTAAGTCTGTTTTCAAATTCACACAAAAGCCTTGCCTGGAATAAAACAGCCCTATCAGAGTGAACAAGGACCACAGTGGGACCAGGCATCTCACCATGGTAGTAGAGGCAGAGTAATGGTTGTCACTGCCAATGTGACACTGTCCATCGTTGGGCAGGACAATGCCTGCCAGCCTTCCATCCAGTGCAATGTGGGTCTTGGCATCAGTGGTAAACACCAGCAAATGGGATGCATCATTCCTCCAGCCAATTTTTTCCTGTTTTGAAAAAAAAGACACAGAGACTTCAGCTATGTCATCCGCACTGAACAAAGACTGCAGAACCTCCATTCCTCAAGAGCTGGACAAGCTGTATTGGAGACGGACCTCAGCCCCAAGCCTTGAACATAAACAAGAGCTTTCTAATTCAGGCTTTGTTCCCTTAGGGAAAAAATCACCCCATTGTTGATTAGTGCATGAGTCTGAATCCCACCTTCTTAACTCTACACATAACTCCTCCAGTGACAGAAACCCTCTGCATCCACACAGCTGGCCTGGATTAGAAGAAATCCCACCCAAACATCTGCTCACTTTGCTGAGGTCAAGTTAACGCAGGCTTGACTCTGAAATAATTCCAGAACATGTGAGCCAATGCTCTCCCTAGGAAAGATCTGGGGCTACTGTGGTTCAAAGAGGTGTCAGCTGTGGCCTCGGTGAGGCTATAGAGAGAGACTACACAGCAGGAAAAATTATTACTCATATTGTACAAAGTCCTGCTTGGTTCCCATCCTCCAACACACCGGAAATCCCCAACCAAACTGTTTCCTCCCCCATTTTGATTTATGCCAGCTACACCTGGCACCCCTTGCCCTCCAAACTCACATCACAGACTGTAGCCTGCATGATGGCGTCAAAGCCGCCCTCGGGGGCATCTCGGTTACGTGACACACTCTGTTTCCTCACTTCCTCATTGAAGCGGGTCACCTGGTCAGTTAGCGTCAGCACGTGTTTGTAGCCAAACATCGGCAAACATGTAGTCTTGATACTGGGGGGTGGGGAGAGGGGGAGAAGAGAGGTCATCTTAAGAAAAGCTGTGGTGGAAAGGTGGTACCAGGGTCAGATAAAGACAAAGGGACAGATACTGACAGTAGTGTGCCCAGATCGGGGAGAATCATATTGGTTCTTCTCCTTTTTTCAGCACTGAGAATTGAGCCCAAAACCCCATGCATACCAGATAAATGCTCTACCACACAGTTACACTCCAGTCCCAGAGAATCACAATTACTCAGACAGTCTAGACTCCAAGTCCTTCAGACTACCTGTGGCACCACATCTGTACCTCCAGATAGCCGGAAGGGCAAGTAAGGCAGTGATAAAACCAGACAGGACAGATTAAACCCCAACTCCCCATTTACCAAGCACGGACTCTCTGACGGCCTCTCTAAACCTGCATTCCATCACGCATTTGGTCACAGCCACACGAAAAACAATTAATACACAAGCCAAACAAAGACAAGGGGCTGTCAGTGTACTTAAGTGGTAGGCTTATATATGGAGGCGTATAGTGCTTATCTCAGAGAGCTATCTCAAGACCAACTAAAGCAATTATACAAGACGAAGGCTCATGCAATCATGACTGGAATCATTAACACATTTTTTTTACTGCAACAATAAAGCAAATGTCCAGTAAATTTATAGATCATGCTGTCCCCAGATATGTTTTCTAGGAAAACATATAGCCCAGTCAGAAATTTAAAAACTGTACTGTAATATTTTTAAAGTAAACCCATGCCTTGTCAATCCAGCAATCATGATTTTAATATACTTTATTTTTAATTACATAGAGAGGGAGTGATATTATGGGAGGGAAGCGGGAGAGAGAAGAGACAGAGACAGAGAGAATGAGTTGTGCAGGCGCCCATGGAGGCCAGAAGACAACATGAGATCCCCTAGAGCTGGGGGATCCCCTAGGCTTGGGTTAAGAGCTGCCCGACTTGGGTACTGGAAACTGGACTTTGCCTGGTCCTCTGGAGGAGCAGGAAGTATTCCTAACCACTGGGCCATCTCCACAGCCCAGTGATCATAATTTTAAATCACTACCATACATAGATTTGCAGTCTTCGTCAAGTTAGCCATTCGATAGTAAGCTGCTATGGTTTGAATACAAGATGGGCACCACAGAGTCGTCGGTGTTTTTGAATACTTGGTCCCCAGGCGGTGGCACAGTTTCAGGGAGGTTGTAGAATCTTTGTAACATAGAGCCTAGCTGGCATAAATAGGGCTATATGGGCAGGGCTTGTTTTGTTTGTATTGTTCCACACCAGCTCCGCTTCCAGGCCTAGCGGCATATAGCAAGTGGCTGCCACAGGTTCCCACCACCACAGACCAAGCCACTTCAGACTTCATGCCTTACCTGTCATGATGGATTACATTCTCTGAGCCATGAACCAAAATAAACCTTCACCCTTAAGTTACCTCTAACAAGTATCTGCTCACAACAGCAAGAAAAGTGACTAACACAGCAGCTAAACAGGCACAGGGCTGGAGATGCTGTTCAGTGGTAGGAAGCCTGCTTAGCAAACCTGAGACTCTAAGCTCAATTCCTAGAGCTCCTCCAGCCCCACAGCTAAGGTGGGTTGGCTCAGGCCTGTAATACAGCACTCGGGAGGCTGAGGTCAGTCTAGGCTACATAGCAAAAATCTCTGTCTCAAAGAAAAAAGTGTGAAGGCTGGAGAGATGGTTGAGTGGTTAGGAGCATCAGCTGGCCAGGAAGTAGTGGCTCACGCCTTTGACCCCAGCACTTGGGAGGCAGAGGCAGCCAGATCTCTGAGTTCGAGGCCATTCTGATCTAGAGATTGAGTTCCAGGACAGCCAGGGCCACACAGAGAAACCCTGTTGGGAGGGGAAGCGGGGACTGGCTGATCTTCTAGAGGATCCATATGCTGGTCCTCTGGCACCCACGTGGTGGCTTAAAACCATCTGTAACTCCAGCTCCAGGGGATCCAACACCCGCTCCTGGCCTCTGATGGCACTAGGCACATGCATGGTACACAGATGTGTGCAATGCCGGCAAACACTGATACACATGAAACAATGAAATTTAAATATGTATGTATTTTTCTAAAGGTGGCAAACAGAGAGAGGGATAACTTAACAATTTATATATTGTTAAAGAATTCAATAAAGTGATTTATTTTTCTTGCATTTTAACTTTGCAAGATTTTTGCTCTTGATGCCTGGATGTTCTTCTGAAATCATAATTACATTTTCACTCATCTAGACCTCTCTCTGCTTTTGACCTCATCCCTGCCCCCTCACTTTCCTCTTTCCCTCTATCCATTTGTGACAAAGCCAATAAGCTGATGACATTTCTGTGTAGGACCCCTAGCAGCCTTGAGCCTATTGGTGTAATATTCCAAAATAGGCCCATCTGCCTGGCAGAGAACAAATTGAAAATGATACGATTTGGCAAAAAGCGCAAACAAAATAACCTTGAGGGGTGGGGTGGAGAGGTAGATCAATGGTTAAGGTATCTGATGCTCCTCCAGCACCCATGTCAGGCAGAATCACCTGTAACCCCACCCCACGGGATCTGACACCCTCCTCTGACCTCCACAGTCACTCGGCACACATATCTACAAACGCATACGTATACCTAGAAATAAAAATAATAAATTTTTGAAGGAAAATAAAAGCCTGGAATTTAAAATGGCAACCAGGACTTGGGCCAGCATGAGACAAAGGGAAGGAGTGCGACACTGGCTTGAGGAGAAAGGGCTTACCTGTAACAGGGGTTTTTGAGGGCCTCTGGTGGGGAGATGAACATGAATGGTGATACAGGCTTGTCCACAAAGGCCCCAAAGCCAATCCGAAGGTTGCTAGTAAGCTTTCGCATCTGAGAAGCCAACTTGGTCCCCAAGTTCTGGATGCTCCTCAGATCGTCCTTCATGGAGAAGGACAGGTCCATCAAGTAGTAGATGTCTACAGGGTAGTCCTCCACCTGCCGCACTTGAAGTGAAAAACTCTTCGAATCATCTGGAAGGCAGAAGGATGTTAGTTTTTCTCTCCTCCTTTTCCTCTAGGAATAAATACACAATTAGGCCACCATAGGGGACAAGTAACTGTTTAATCAAACTAAGCTTGAAAGTTTTGGTCACACACACACACACACACACACACACACCTTACAACTCTATTCCTCATGCAGTCTCTTGAAAGTCTTCTTTTCTGTGATTTTCCCATCTATAAATCCCAATGTATGAGAACCTCTGGGACCCCAGGGTCTACTATCCCAAGTCATACATAGCACTTGGCAGCTGCTACAGTTCAGACTCTGTGAAGGACAGGAACTGTGCTGAGTATGGTGGCACATGCCTGTAATCCCAGCATGCACGAGGCAGAGGCAGGGAGATTCACACAAATTCAAGGCCAGCCTGGGTTGTATAGTGAGTTCCAGGCTGAACAGAGGTCCTGTCTCAAAAGTAAATAAATAGCACCCTGCTTACCTCCAAATCCCATATATGTATTGCATATAATGGGGCTCTCTCAAACTCTTACTGATTCAGCCAGGCCAAGCATTGGAAAGTTCACTCTAAGGCTAATACTCCTCCCTTTTCTATCTCTTTGTCTGCTCCTAAACAATCCTTATCCCCTGTGGAAAACAGGCTCACAAATATCCTTCATCTTATTTATACCTCCACACAAAGCTACAAACTAGACAAAACACATGAGAGGAAGCAGAACCAGAAGGGTTAAATAACTAGTAACCAGCCAAATAACTAGTAACATGGTGGAGTTGGAATTCACACTCGGATCTTCTGACTCAGATCCTGACACCTTGTTTTCTTCCATTCTCCAGCCTACAACTCCTCTCTCTCTTTCTCTCTCCTTCCTCCACCCTTCCTCCCCCTCCCTCTTTCTCTCTCTCTCTCTCCACCCCTATTCTGTATTGCCCCTCCCCCCAAAATTCCAGCTAGGACCTAAATATCCCTTGCCCACTTGTGCCAGGTGTCTCCCCAAGATAAGCCCTGTGCCTACCTGGCCGTAGTCGAAGGGCAATCCTCTGGGGGCTGACTTGAGTGATCTGGGCGCTGTCTTCAGAGCCCTTGCTGCTGAGTGGTCTATCCTCCAGGATCTGGACCTCACTGACTGGGAACTCAATGGACTCTGGGGCACAGTTGTCCTTCAGCAGGTTGTCCTTTAGGTTACAGCGCGGTGAGCCCTGAGGCAAAGCCTATGTAGACAGGAGCCCAAGGGGAAAGCCTGACATCAGAGCTAGCATGGCTATGCTATGCCTCTGGCATGACATGTCACCTCCCAGTGTCTTAGAGTTTACCCAGTCCTCTGGAGCTAATCTAGCATAAAAGAGTTGCTGAGGCCCCTTCCTAGGATAATCCTCAGGGACACATACAGGAAGATCGAACAGGCTGAGTCAGTACCTGTTCATGATTGACAGCTGGGAAAATGGTGCATTAAGTAAAATGCCTGGCAAACTAGTGCTTTCCATATTGTAAAACAGAAATTAGTTTGTGAGTCTCAGAACCAGGTTTACTAAATAAAACACAATTTTATAGGGAATGTACTGTGTATGTTCATCTTATTGATTATTGAATAAAATACTGTTTGGCCAATGAGACAGCAAGTTAGACAAAGAGGATTCTGGGAAATGTAGTAAAGAAGTGGTGTTCCAGGCAGGAAGTGACATAACAAGGAGACTCATATTTAAGAAAGGAGAAACAGGAAATGTCCCTTTTCCCCTTTGCCTCCTCCAGAGGCAGGATGTGAGCCACCAGCAAGAGAGGGCACCAGCGAAAGGCATCCTCTATAAGATAAGTCTTATAAAATATATAGATTTATGATAATTAAGACTGAGCTAACAGATGAGAATGCTAGTCATTGGCCAAGCAGCTTTGTACCTAGTATGTCTCTGTATTACTTTATCCATCCATGCGGTGGGCAGAACTCGGGTGGCTGGCGGAGACCACCCACGTGGCAGTGGGGCTTGGCGGCATTTGGCGGAATGATTTATCGTAACAGAATGGTGTCAGTGAGTGGGATGACCCCATGCCCCAAGGTTCCCAGAGAAAAAGGGAAACCTGCCGCCACAGCCTGCCCCGTCGGCCCACTGAGAAGCATAGGAACAGCTTCCATAGGCTCGCACCATCCCGCTATTGGGCGTTGGACTCGACACTTCTCTAGCATGTATTTTTGAATCTTAAACCAAACTTTGTACCTTCCCATAGGTAGTTTTTATATATAGTTCCTTCTGTCTCCTTTCTTAATACTGGAGCCTTGCCGGTTGTGGTGGCGCATGCCGGTAGGATTTGCTGAAGGAAGCAGAGGCAGGCAGATTTCCACAGAGACACCCTGTCTCGGGGAAAAAAGAAACAAAAGAAAGTAAAAATAAAGTAATAAAAAAAGCCACATAAAGATGGAAAATACACAGAGAGTCTGGATACTATATGCCATGTTGTTGTCTTTAAATTGTTTGATTGCCGAGGAAAGACTTACTGCTGCTAAAATACATTTGATTATAAATGCTGCTAAATTAATCCAACTTACACATTTTAAAAATGCTTTGACTTCAAAATTTAAGTCTAAGGACAGGGTACTTGGAAAAATAATTTCTACTTGTGTTCCCACAGAAAATGAAAAGCTGTGGATTCCTTCCAGACTAATATGGTTTGATCAAGCAAGACCCCCTGAAGCAGTGACTCAACTGATCCTACATCCAAAAAAAGCTGAGACAATACAGCCTTTCAGACTATGAAAAAGAGGACTTGGTCAGATTTCTATGTTTTATCATGATTCCAACAGTATAAACATCGCCCCCAATCATCAGGAAGCAGTTTAGAAAGAACGACACCCATATTCCCAAATATTGTTTATGAATGTTTGTTTTCATTTAAATGGGGTTGGTTATAAATGATAATGAGCATAGTCAATTTTTTTTAAAAAGGGGGGGAATAGGATATAGGAATGAATACTTTGCATTGGTATGGATTTTCATTTATTGATACAACTTTAAGGTCAATTTTGTGATATGTATATGTCTCCTCTTGTTTAGGTATTGTGTTTATACAGATCTTTTAAAATGATATGCATAATTAAATAAGGCTATATAATAGATGTATTTGAGATGGATAGATATTCTTCAAACCTTTCAAGAACTACAGAATATATGACATTTTAAATGATTTATAATTTTTCATGGCAGTGAGACACAACTGGTCCTGGCACACCAATTATGTCTTAGAGGAAGATTGGCATTGAAGAAACTCGTTGTGGAGTTTGCTTTCAACATGGCAAGATTAGCCATTTGGGCAAGAAACTGCTCTTGCCTGGACTGTTCATTACTGTATAAACTGGACATGCAGGACCTACAAGAAAGTGTCTGCTGAACTTACAAAACAAGACAGTACTGAAGGGTTCCTGCTGAAATGGAGACGTGTGCCAGCCACACTGTGGCCTATAGGCTGAAGATGGATGCCCCAACATTACAGAGGAACTTTGGGTGACTGTCCAGGTAGCAGATGTCTCTGTCAATTCTAGAGTTTATATATTATCCTTCTGTGGTCTTTGATAGAGTTGAAGACAGATAGTTATGGTTATAGTTTTCTTTAGTTATTATAAAAGATAAGTTACCCTTCTTTTTATTTAGACAGAAAAGAGGAGATGATGGGAAATGTACTGTGTATGTTCATCTTATTGATTATTGAATAAAGTACTGTTTGGCCAATGAGACAGCAAGTTAGACAGGATTAGGAGTCTAAGAGGATTCTGGGAAATGTAGTAGAGAAATGGTGATCCAGACAGGAAGTGACATAGCAAGGAGACTCACATTTAAGCAAGGAAACAGGAAATGTCCTTTTTCCCCTCCATTCTTCCTCCAGCAGCGTAATGTGATCCACCAGCAAGGAGGGACACCAATAAGGCGTCCAATAAGATAAGTCTTATAAAATATATAGATTTATGATAATTAAGACTGAGCTAACAGATGAAAAATCCTGGTCATTGGCCAAGCAGCTTTGTACCTAATATGTCTCTGTATTATTTTGTCCATCCACGTGATGGGCAGAACTCAGGCGTCTGGCAGAGACCGCCCACGTGGCACTGGGGCTCAGGCAGCTTTTGGCGGAAAGATTTATCGTAACAACAATTGAATAGAGTAGAAAAAATACCCAAGTATATACCAAGTAAATAAAAGTTTTGATGTTATTTGGGGAAACTTTTATTTACTGGAGGAGGGGATTTAGCATACATAATGAGTAATACTATATGAGGTATTTCTTTCTGTAGGTCAAGGTTAAAACTATGTAAAGCTATTATGTTAGATACTGGCTGCTTTATAAGATCAGTGGTTGTGTGTCCCTGTCTCCCTGCTTCACCCAGGACAAAGGTGACACAGCAGAGTCAGTGGAGGGTAAAGAATAAGAGCACAGGAATGAGCTAGCTGAGACTGACCCTCAGTGTCACCACTGACGGGTACCAGAGCATGACACACAGCTCTCCAAGCCTAGTTCCTTCGGCTGTAACATAAAGGGTAAAAGTCTTCCTTAGCTACAAACAGCAATCAAAACCACAGAGACAGAAGAGGAAATGATGGTTGCTAGGGGATAGGGGAAGGAGGAAGGAAGAGTTGATTAATAGGCCCAGAGTTTTAGTTTAGCACAATGAAATTAGTTATGGGGATGGATGATGGTAAGGGTTTCATATACTTAGAAAGGGGCTGGGGAAATGGTTCCATTGGAAAGGTGTTTGGGAACCTGAGCTCAGAACCCACATTAAGAAAAAAATAGGAGCTAGAGAGATGGCTCAGAGGTTAAGAGCACTGGCTGCTCTTCCAGAGGTCCTGAGTTCAATTCCCAGCAACCACATGGTGGCTCACAGCCATCTATAATGAGATCTGGTGCCCTCTTCTGGTGTGCAGGAATATATGCAGACAGAATACTGTATACATAATAAATAAATCTTTTAAAAAAG